TAATAGCCAGCGTTTCCACCCGCTTTATCAAAAAACCGAAAAATGTGAAAAAGTCAAAAGAAAATTCATAACTCGAAAAATTTTTGACCAAATTTTTTTTTCTTTATCAGAATTTAAAGAGCGATTTTTGCTTTTCAAATTATGACAATTGGGAATTTTGTGTAAGAAACTTTTAATAGATAGCGTTCCCACCCTCTCGTATTAGAAAAACCGAAAAATTTGAAAAATTACAAAAAAAAATTCATAACTCAAATAATTTTCGATCAAATTTTTTTTCAATGTCAGAAATTAAAGAGGGATTATTGCTTTTCAAATTGTGACCATTGCGAATTTTTTTTAATAAACTTTTAATAGCCAGTGTTCCCATTCGCCCGTATCAGAAAACTGAAAAATGTAAAAATTAAAAAAAAATTCAAATGTCGATAAAATTCAAATCCGAGCTAATCTAGCAAAACTGAAATAGGTTTTTGCTAGTTTTGATAAGTACTTTTAGAAACTGAAGTCAAAACTTAGTGCACATTCGATGACCTCAAAAATGTTGCACTGTGTAATCAAGTAGAGCTTTTAAAGTTTTTGAAAGAATATAATATGATATAAACATGTTATATTTAAAAAAATGCCTAAAATGGTTACAAATGTCAAAGAAACTAGATAATTGTTCATATGATTGTTAATAACAATGGTAATTATTAAATTCAAAATAATTTTTTACAAAAATCCACATAGATTACATAAATAAACATAAATTTGTCTGCAAAAACAATTTTTTTATAAAAAAGAACCAAAGTTATCTATTTGTTAATTAACATTCTTTGCAACAATTTAAATAAATTGTATTATGAATTATTATTTGTCTGGTAAAATTTCGCGTCAAAAATGTCTAACCTAAAATGTTGTAAAAATTTTTTTTTAAAAGCCGGTCAAAGTTGACTTTTTAATAAATAATATACGCACATTTTTTAAAAAACTTGATAGATTCCCTTGAAACTGCTTACTTGGAGGTTTTTGGGGTCTGATTGCGAATATGATAGTAGTTTTCGAAAATTCAAAATGTCGAATCTAATATGGCGGACACTTCCTTGGAATTCACTTGAAACTGGTTTCTCAGGGGTTTTTAGAGTCGATGATTATGAATATGACAATAGTTTTCAAACATTCGAAATAGCGGATCTAATATATGTTATTATGTTTTGCAGGGCTGCATAGATTGCTGCGCCAGTTGGCACTGACGTCATGTATTTTTGCACTGCTAAATTGTTTGTGTCGATAAAACATTTAAAACTAAATAATTTCAAAATAAGCGTGCTTCTTAAATTTCTAAACACTTAAAATAATTATATAAAATATTTTTAAAAAAATTTTTTTACACTTTTTGTAAAAAACATTTTAGATACACTGTAAAAAAATCTGGTGTAAAATAACACGAAACTTGTAATTTCACATATCAAAATTATAGGTTGTACGTAGTAAATTTATTTCGTTCCAAAAGTAGTTTTACTATTTTTAATAATTTTACATTATACGACTATGTAATTTAATAGTTTTGTGTAAATTTACTACGTCCGACGTAGGAAAATTTGATCACTATGTCCGACGTGGTATTTTTACATTGCGTGTATTTCTACACTTTGACGTAATATTACGTCGCACGATCTGTACAATTACATGGCGAATGTAATTTTCTTATTCCTTTAAGATTTTCAAAAAATTTTCAAGTTTTTATAAATAACTCTAAAAAAGTGTATATAATGTACATTTATAGAAAGTATATGCTAATTTATAAGTAAATAATAATATAACAAAAAGTTTTGGGCTATATTTCATAAATACAAAAAGTTACGACTGAAAATATTATTTCAAAAAATATTTGCAGGTTATGTAGATTACAGTCGGCGTGTAAAAATACCACGTCGGACATAGTGACCAAACTTTCCAACGTCGGACATAGTAAATTTACAGCAGATTTTTTTACAGTGTAGTGAGGGCCTTTAAGCGGTGGGGGCCATATACAGTTGCCTAGTTTGCCTCTGTATAGTTCGGCCCTGAGGTTTTGTACGTTCTTTTTTTCAATTGAGTTTTCAATTTTTTAAATTTATTTTTCATGGAAAGAACTGAAACATTCTTTGCAAAAATATGAATTGCACGTTTTACAATATAAAAATGTTCTGATGTCATAGCTGTCTTTAGAGCAATATTTTCGCTTTTGTGTTGTTTCTAATTTGTGGTCTTTTAGATTACCAATATTTTTATTCTAAATAATTTTTTGAAACGCTTAGAGCAAACTCTTTTAGTGATATTTTCTTACCTTCTTTATCATCAGCAATGTTAAGTAAGACAGCATTAGTAATAGAGAATTGAATGATTCTCATAAGAACTGGACAAGTCCATTTCTTACTTCTAAAGGTGGGCATAGCTTCACTACAATATTGGTTGTGGAGATCAACACCACAACACATAATCAGAAAATGCTTTAGACATTTTCAGATTATATTTTCCTCTTTCCTCTTTCTAATAGCGTAGTATATCGTTCATAGGAAAAACACCAGCAGCTGTAGAGAGCAAAGAAACTTCTTTAGTGACCATGATTGTAATAAAATTCATGCCACTATTTTCTTCATGCTTAACTATAAATGAACCTCTTGATGCACCTTTTTCTAAAAAAGACTTTTCTTTTACGTGGTCCATTCTGATCACTCCAATAGCTTTAAATCCACATTTCTTCAAGTGGACAAGTAGGTCAGGATTTGTGAAATAATTAACAAAATATAAATGATAATTATTTACCTTTCTTCTCGTAGTTGACAAGAGCAATTTTTCTGTCAAGTTGAGAATCACCCGACGTCCTAATCCACATTTCTTGAAATCACCAAAATCGTTTTTAGAATGTTTGCCACAATAAATTTCGCATTCAAACAGAAAACCATCGAAATCGCACAGAACCCACATTTTTATGCCAAAGCGAACTGGCTTATTGCGTATAAATTGTTTAAACTTCAATCGCACAAAAAATTGTATCATCATTTCGTCGCAGGAGAGTGCTGTTTGAAAATAACCGAAACGTTTTAGATTTGTTTTGGACATTTCTAAAATAGCTCGCACTCGCCAAGCGTATTTATTCTGATTCTGGTCATCGTTTTCAGAGCATTTCAAATTGGTTTTAATATTTAAAAATCGATTTCGACTCGTCGCTGATTTAACAACTGGACATTCTAAGATAGGATCAGATGACCAATAATCTTTTTTACATGTACACTACCGTCTACGAGTGTCAGGACGATTGCACGCGACTCTATGAAAAAACATTTTGGTTTTTATTTTCTTTTAATTATTTTTATCACTGTATTTTATATATGCATATAAGAAAATGAATTGCTTAAAGAAATGTGTAATGTGCCATTTTATAATTTAAATCAAAGTATATTATTTTTAATTAGGGTCAATTGGGGTAAATGTAAACGGAATATCTATTTTTCACCAAAAACATTAATTTTTTTTGTTAAAATGTAAAACGGACGGATTTTTTTGTATGAACTTGTTACTAGAGTTCCCTAGAAAAATTTTATGAGGTTCAAAAATATATTGATGCACCTGATTTGCCTAAAACTGACTGTTTACATTTACCCCGAGATTTTGAAATATTCCTAAAATTCGGGGTAAATGTAAACACCACTGTAGTTAAGCGAGGTTTAAGAAACAAGTTATTTCAAGTATACTACTGTTTTAAGGGATGGAAAAACTGATAAAAATTCTTCGTAGATGTATAGTAAATCAACCAGTTGACTGATAATGTATCATATAAAATAAACAATCAACCATTACAAAATTAGTAGTGTAAAAACTTGAATAACTTGAACAAATTTTAATAGATTTTCATTCAACTTGGTAAAAAGAAGTTTTTAAGGTTGCTTAATAAGAATCTAAAATCGAATTTTTAAATTTCAAAATGGTGGATGAACCTAAAAATATTTTTAAAAATTAATCAAATTTTCAAAAAAAAAAATTTTTTTTATCAAATTTTTTTTTAAAGAGGACGTAATTTCCTTTTCTATGTAATTTTATTGCCAAATTAATGAAATTGTGAAATAGAAGCACATTTATTCAATTATTTTCTTTTAAAATGTAGTTCAAGTTCGTTTACTCCGAGTTTTCGAATTCTCGGAGTAAATATAAACACTTAATTATTTATTAACCCCTTGACTGTGGATGATATGTATATTGTATACACGTCATGAAAAAAACTGGCCCAAACAGTGGATGACGTGTGTACACGTCATGGCCCAAACAAGAAAAGATCTTAACGTATATTTGCAAAAATTTTTACTCGGGGGTTTTTGGGGTCGCTGATCACGATTCTAAAGTCAGATTTTTAAAATAAATAATTTTTCATCCAAAATGGCGGCCAAAAATTTTGAAAAATTTTAAAATTTGATAATTTTTTTTGAAAATTCTTACTTGAGGGTTTTTTGGGTCGCTGATCACGATTCTGAAGTCAGATTTTCAAAATAAATAATTCTTCATCCAAAATGGCCGCCAAAAATTTAGAAAAATTTTAAAAGTCGATAAATTCTTTTAAAAATTCTAACTCGGGGGTTTTTGGGGTCGCTGATCACGATTCTGAAGTCATATTTTCAGATTTCATAATTTTTTATTCAAAATGGCCGCCAAAAATTTTGAAAAATTTCAAAAGTGGATAAATTCTTTTAAAAATTCTTACTCGGGGGTTTTTGGAATCGCTGATCACGATTCTAAAGTAAGGTTTTCAAAATAAATAATTTTTGATACAAAATGGCCGCCAAAATATTGAAAATTTTCAAAAGTGGATAAATTCTTTTCATACACGGAAAAAAAAAGTACGTGAATCCTTCCTTGAAAGTGCTTGACTTTTGGATAGAACACAAAGTACAAGGCTGTATCATATACTTTTTATTAGAAAATATAGAAAAGTCCTAGAGTTATTTTAGTACTAGTATGGGCAACAGTGTTTTTTAAATTTTAACGAAAAGTCATTTGTTCAGTTTTATAAAGTACGTGAAAGATTAGTTGACTGCCTGCGCTTGAAAATTCTGTAGAGCATGCGCAGTGTGCGTTGCGCGTTTCTACCCAAGGTAAATGCCAGCTGATCGTCTGTTTCCGTTTGTGTTAATTTCAGATGTGAATATACTATTATTTTATGAAAAACAAATAGTGTTAATATATATTTGTCTTCAAGAATTGACTTTCAAAAAAATATTTTTTGTTTTGTGTTTCTCACAAAACAGAATGTTATGTAAGTCTCAGTTTTCAGTGAAATAGCATGTCTCAGAAGTCGTGAAAAATTTCACTATGTGGTATATAAGAACAATTCGATACGTACTTTTAAGTGTTAAGTGTGTGTTTATATTTAAGTTATACGCGAATATATGTGTGTGTTATAGGTTAGTTCATAAGTGTTGACGAACGTCGAAAAGTGATACAATAATTGTTCTTTGTTTGTGTGATTAATTATCCAAATATGTGAATGAATGAGTGAATTTCAGAAAAACGGTGTGAACAAGTGGAAATTATTTTTTTATTTTACAGTTTTTTTGAAAGTCAATGAAATTCTCAAGCAAGGTACTAGAAATTTTCATTGACTGCTTTTGAAACTCTCATGCAAAAGTACTAGACTGTTTTTAGTATTTTGTGTCGTATCCAAAAGTCAAGTACCGAGTCAATGAAAAATTCACGTACTTTTTTTTTCCGTGTAATTCTTACCATTTAAACAGGGTGGCCACCGGACCTTGAAACCTTGAAAACCTTGAAATGGACGTGAATTTTGTCAAACCTTGAAAAAACCGTGTATTGGACGTGAATTTTTTTAAAAACCTTAAATTTTAGTATTATATATTATTAAAACTAAAAAAAAATTTTTTTGACAATTTTCAAAATTTTATTTTTTGAAAAAATTAAAATTTTTTAAAATCTATACGATTGATTGTTTAGAATCGTAAAATAAGACTATAAAAAATTCTGCAATGAAAAATAATAAAAAATGTGGAAGTAGTTGAATTTTTGAAGTATTACTATAGTAAAATTTGAACCAATAAAAAAACCTTGAAAATCTCTTAGAAACCTTGAAAAAACCGGGAAATAGACGTGAATTTTATTCACGAGTTTTGGTGGCCACCCTGTTAAGCTTTGAAAAACTAATAACAGATTCGTAATCAGCGACTATAAAAACCCCCGAATAACGAATTTTAAGCGTATCCAATGAATTTTTCAAAATCGTGACCGATATTTGGAATCCGCCATTTTGAATTTTAAAAAACTAATGTCAGATTAGTAATCAGCGACCACGAATACACCCGAGTAACAAATTTTAAGCGAATCTAATGAATTTTTCAAAATCGTGTCCGCCATTTTGGATCCGCCATTTTTAATTTTAAAAAACTAATGTCATATTCGTAATCAGCGACCACGAAAATCCCCGAGTAACGATTTTCAAGCGAATCCAATGAATTTTTCAAAAAAGTATCCTCCATTTTGGATCCGCGATGTTGAATTTTAAAAAACTAATGTCATATTCGTAATCAGCGACTACCAAAACCCCTGAGTAACGAATTTTAAGCGAATCCAATGAATTTTTCAAAATCGTGTCCGCCATATTGGATCCGCCATTTTGAATTTTTAAAAACTAACACCGGAATCGTAATAAGCGACCCCAAAAACCCCTTAATACCTAGTGTCATGAAAATTTATTTACAAGAAGGTCTTACACATTTTGGGACCATTTTGTTATATTTTAGCTACCCAGTAAGAAAGCAAATATTAAGAAGCATTAAAAAAATTCTATCCTTTTGAATACCATTTCTGTCCTATGCTTCTGAATTATGCGACAGTAGTTGAAAAGTTTACAATTTCAATCCTTTCAAATGCTCATACAAATATAGTATAATATTATAATACTAATATTGTTGACATTGCATAGAATGTTCAATTACTTTCAAATAACTGCACTCATGACTTTATTTGCTATTTTAAAAAGGAATAATTATTAAATTATCAGTTAAGAGGGTTAAAAGTGTTTAAAGGTCTCTGAAATTTTTAGATTATGATTTATTGTCTAACAGAATAACGGGCCTGACTCGTTTAAATGACGTAAAATTGGTAAACAATCAATTTTTCAGCAAGTTTTTCTTTGAACACAAACACTTTTTACAAAATCTGCCAATGTATGTATCTTATAAATTACAAAAATCCAGAAGATTGCTTGAATGCATGCAGAAACGCGGTTCCAATGAAAAATTGAAAAGTGATGTAATGACAGGCTGTAATAATTTCGGATGGGATTGGAAAGCATTCAGAAAAAAATTTTGTCTTTTTGTTAACAATTACAAACAGAATTGAATTGCATTCATTTTTAGACGAAACGTGGTCCTATAATGGTATAGAAAAGTATTGGACAGAAATGGCATTTAAAACTATTAGATAATTTCTACTACACCATACAGAGTTTGAATTATTTCAATCCTTTTCAATTCCTCGCTTCTTACTGGGTACACACTGAAGGGGTTAACTAAATTGACGAAAATCAAAAATCAAAGTCAATTTTTGTTAGGGCATTAATAAGGAAGAATTACATATTTTTGTTTTATTTTTTAATTTATTTTTATGCAAATGTGAGACAAAATACTGAAACAGTAAAATTTTGATTTTCAATCTTTTTTGCATTAAAAAATAACTTATACTATTACATTGCCAATTGTCAAAATAAAATTTTGGCAATACTCAGAACATCTTTTAGGTAATCGTCCTGTAATCGTCCTGATATTTGTGGACGGTAGTGTACGTTTATTAAAAATTGATAAAATAATTATTCCATTAAAAATTTCTAGCTCTTATAACGACATATGACGTATGACATTTTGTTGCAAAGGGAACAATCTTCACTATCACTATCATTTTCAGAAGATTCTTCAATATCTGAATTATTTGGATAATGAATTATTGCAACGTCAACTGTATCATCATTTTCAAATAATTCGTTTTATCAGTTTTTTAGGAAAATCAATTTTTTTTAATTTGTTAAATAATGATTTAATTTAAAAGTAAATAATGTGTAAAGTGAACTGCTGACCTAACAGTTCAAGTGCGTGTTTCACATTTAATTTCGTATATAAAAATATACGAATTAAAGAAAAAGTTATTTAATTTGACAAAAGTAATCATTAAAGCATTTATTTATGACATATTTAGGGCAAATTAATGTTTACTTATTGAATAATTAATGTTTAAAGTTGGAGATGTCAGTTTAACCGTGAGATGTATGCGTGTGTGTGTGTAAAGCGATGATAATATTATACTACTTGATATATCGCTGCGCATTTGTAAAAATCTATTTAAAATAGTTTTTAATTATTAATAATATTTTTGTGTTACGATGCGCAATGGAGACTAAAATACAAATTAAAAATAGGGAATTTAATGAGACTAATTTAGAAGGAACAGGTGATTGTCTTTTTTTATGTCTTAAAAAATGTCTTGGACGACCGAGTAGTTATTCGGTTCGACAAAAAATTGTGCGGTTTGTCGTTGATCATTGGGGAGAATATTGTAAAGAAGCAGAATTTGGTTTAAATATTAAATATCCTCATATTTACAAATATTAAATGGGAAATATAAATACTTATGTTTTAATCTTAGAATGTCGAGCTGCCGCAAGTGCTTATAACATTAATGTTATTGTTTTTCGAAAGACTGAAGACAATAAATTTTTAGTATTTCCGTTAAAAAAAAGTGACACTGCCCGAACTGTGCACTTTCTGTTTACAGGCCAAAATAGAGAGAAAAATATGGATGGACATTTTAGTATTCTAACTGAGTGTAATAGTAATTTTACTAATACTCCTGTTAATATTAGTGTCGATCTAAACCAGTATACTGACTAATGAAATGTGTTATTTCGATAGTGTAATAGATAACATTATTTCTGATTCAGGGAATGAATTAATTCAATGTGAAGATATTTACAATAACTCTAAGTTCTGAATTAAATACACAGGCACACAAAAAAAAGTCAAAACCCAAAGGTCACACCCCCCTATCCCCATGTTTTGGGGTCGCTGAAACCGAATATGACCATGAAAAATTTTTCTCATCGGCCATTTTCCCGCTACCACCCCCTTACACCTGCTCCTTGGGGTTGGAATTTCTGTTTAAAAAAAAGTGGAGTAGGGTGTCCATTTCTATGTGTTTTGGGTCGCTAAAACCAAAAAAGACTACCAAAAACAAATTCTTCCCTCCCTTAACCCTCTACAACCCCCTTAACACCCGAAAGGTGGGTGGTCGAAATTCGAATTTTCATGAAAAGTCGATTACGGTGTCTAAACCTACGTTTTTTGGGTCGCTGAAACCAAAAAAGACTACTAATATCAAATCCTTTCCACCCTCGACCCCCTACAACCCCCTGCAATAATTTTTGATAATTAATATTTAATTTTCAATTTCCCAAAAATCGGTTCGTTTTATTTGAAAAAAATTATTGCAGGGGGTTGTAGGGGGTCGGAGGTGGAAAGGATTTGATTTTTTCAGCGACCCAAAAAACGTAGGTTTAGACACCGTAATCGACTTTTCGTGAAAATTCGAATTTCGACCCCTTACCCCGGGGTTGTTAAGGGGGTTGTAGGGGGTTAAGGGAGGGAAGAATTTGTTTTTGGTAGTCTTTTTTTATTTAAGCGACCCAAAAAACATAGGAATAGACACCCTACTCCACATTTTTTAAAACTGAAATTCCAACCACCGGGAGCAGGTGTAAGGGGGTGGTAGCGGGAAAATAACCAATGAAAAAAAATTTTAATGGTCATATTCGGTTTTAGCAACCCCAAAAACATGGTGATATATGGACGACCCCTTGCAGATTTCGGCAAGAAGTGTTTACTGTATTACAAAAGAGTAGAATATAAGCGGAAAATTAGAAATTAGGCCAAAAAGTGGAAGTCCTCTTATTCCATGTAAAGAGTTTTTGCAAGCAATAATTCCATGAAAAATTCATGATTTTTACTGCAACAAAGAATTTTCTACAACTAAAGCATTATATGAATAGCGGCGCAACAAAACAGCTTTCTTCTAACTATTAAAAATCGTCGAAGAAATGATTTCAACATTTTTTTTTACAGATGAAACTTGGTGCAGTTTCAATTATTCAAGAAAATTTGGTTGGATTGAGAATATTATTAACAGAGAAAACAATCATTTCAATTACTAACGTGATCATGAACAACAAGTTTATGGTCAACGTGAGGGTTTCATAACGCTATCCGGAGCCGGAAAAAGAGTCATTATTTTACACATTGTTGGAAGGAATGGCTTCATGGAAGGTTGTTTTAAATGCTTTATTGGACAAAAAGGCACAGTAGATTATGATGGTGAAATGAACGCCCGGCAATACGAAGAATAGTTTCGACATGTGCTAACAGTGGGTGTTTTCGACGTTGACACTCTGAACGCTCTGACAGAGTGAAAAGGTTCTCATTTTGTAAGTAAAACTGGTGAGTGAAATGGTATCTTCTGATTGGCTAAAACATAATGAGCCTGATATGCTTATGATTCAGGCTGCAATTTTTGGTTTTATGTTACTAAAAGGGTATAGTAACCTTTGGTTATATTTTATATTGGCTACGTTCAGACCATACTTTTGCTCTGGTTCGACGCTCGGTTTCTTTAGACCGAGCGTTCAGAGCGTGAACAAAAAACGTATTTTTTTAAAAGTACTCGAACAGTTTTTTCGGTTTTTTCAGAAAGGATAGAAGAAAACTTTTGTGTTGGGTTAATAGATCCAGTTATCCTCAATGCTATTGTGAACATAATTTTCGCCGATGACAATGACATTGAGAAAATTCTGGAGGTTTTAAAAGTGAAAGAGACCCATGAAAAGATTCGAGGTTATTTTGAAGATGTAATTCCTCTATATTCATTATCAGGTAATTGTAATCATTAAAATATTTTTTGCGGATGAATCTGGTTGTTGCATCGATTTCGATAATTTCTTTTGGTAAATTCTAATTGTCTTATGAAAACCTTTAATATTAATTTTATAATTATTGGTTTATATATACATTTTTAAATTTTTTGTCTCTTTTTTATTAAAAACTAGTAACAATTAAAACCATAAATAACATGTACAAGAGAGCGATAATCACTGTTAAATAATAGAGGTGTGCAAAAAGCTCGAGGCTCGATCGGGTATTTTTGAGCTTTTCATTTTTCGAGCCGAGCCGAGCTTTATAAAAAGCTCGAATAATTTCGGGTACTCGAAACTTTCGAGTACCCGACACATCGAGCCCGGCTCAAAAAAATTGCTGCCAGGCTCGGCTATTTGAGCTTTTTGCACACCTCTAATAAATAACAATTTTTTGTTCAACAAAAATTCTTTTGTAATAAATTTGTACCTACTGATTTTTCTTCAGCAAGCGTCATTGATTGCAAAGAATAAAATTTTTCTATAGGAAAGAAGTTCTATTATCTGCTATTATGATTTTTGTTTTTTTAGCTTTAGAAAAAAAATTATAAAAGGACAATTTTTTAATAGATAGTTCTTTAATTTTCGATATTTTTGCAGACTTCAAATCACATTTTCGAATGATTCGGTCAACGTTCGAAAAATTGCTAGAAACTCTCGCCCCATCATTGAAGGGTGGAAAGAATGCTGGGCAACTTACCGTGACTCCCGAGAAGCATCTTTTCATAGCTATATGGTTGCTGTGTAATCAAGAAGTATACAGGTATAATTAATTAATATTTATTTAAGGGAAGATACCAGTGGAATTTCAACTCATCAAAATATTTGTTATTTATTGTTTGGGAAACTTGGGATAGTCATGGAATATCAAAATTATATTTATGTTTGTTTTTCTTAATTTCTCTTAATCATTTTTTAATTATTATTTTTAATATTGTTTTCTCATATTTAATGTTTAGCTTTTATTTCACAAACTTTACTCATCACGGAAAATTGGGAAGTATTTCTCAATCTTTCCTTAAAAAATCATTCAGATTTGATAAACTCATGGTGGCTACTGATCAACAAAAACTTACAAATTAGGAAAAAGTCAGACATGTTATCAATCAGTCATTGAAAAATTTACAGTGCTTGAAACACCTCCCGTGTTTCAATACATGTCAAATATCGACACCCATAAAAATTTTATTGGTCCCTCGCTTTAATAAATTATCAACATTCAATAAATTTATAGAATAATTTATAGATCAGTTGCAGATCGTTTCGGAGTGTCAATCAACACTGCTTGGAGATCTTCCATGAAAGTCTGTCATGCCTTGTGTGAAAGGTCTGCCAATTATATAAAGTGGCCTCAAGGAGCAGAAATGAGAAGAGTTCAAGCAGAGTTTCAGGAAATTTGTGGATTTGATAATGCGATTGGAGCCATCGTCGGATCTCACATTGAGATAAGTGCCCCTTCAAGAGGCTGATAGTTATATCAATCGAAAGGTCTTCCATTCACTCTTGTTGCAAGGGATTTGTGATGCAAATCTACGTTTCATCAATATCTTTGCTGGGTTGTGCGGAAGCGTTCATGATTCTCGCATGTGGAACATGAGCGACATAAAAGAAGCCATCGAAGAAGATATATAACGATATTTCCCAGGCGACTCTCACTTACTCGGTGATTCGGCCTATGGTGTCCAATCGTATCTTATGGTTCCCTAGAAGGATTATGGCAATATGAAGGACACACAAAGAAATTTCAATAGAATTCTATCTAAAAATCGAGTTGTCATCGAAAGAGCATTTTGTTTGTTGAAAGGTCGTTGCCGCAGGTTAAAATACCTGTATTTGCAAAATGTAAAATATGGGGCTTTGATCATTGCAGCTTGTTGCGTTCTGCACAACATATGTCTCGACTTAGAAGACGAAGCGAACGACGATATATTGACTGAAAACGAAAATATTGAAGATCAATCTGATCATGAAAACACTGCAAACGGCAGAATCAATCTTCCAGCCCAAACGAAAAGAGATGAAATTGCGGAACTGCTGATGGAAAGAAGAAGACATTAAAGTTTTGCTGCCTATTTGTTTTCAAAGCCTTTCGAAAAATGCGCTTCTCACTTGAAAATGTTTTATATATTTCTGAAAATTGAAAATGAAGAAAAAGTAATTCGTTTGGAAACAAGAGGGACACGCACGGTGAAGATCATCGACGACGATGGCAGGGCGCGCAGACTTGGGCTATCCCTTGTCTCTATTCTCGGCCCATTGTAAATAATTTTTAATAGTAATTAATAATTACATTTAATTATGAATCATTTTTAATTCGTAAATTACTGATGAGAACATTTATGAAATTTCTTGAAAACCTGAAAAAATTCTTCCTTTTTTTGTACGTGGTAAACATGGAAAAGTTTTGTAATTTTATTTTCAAAAATAAAATTCACCCTGACAATTTAATTTGATTTTATTTTTTTCTACATCCTAAACTCGTTTTTTTGTAATGTATAGTTACTTTCGATTTCGAAAGATAAAATAATTTGTAGTTGTCATAAACATAATAATTGAATATACTTAATTAACTTACTCTTATTAAAAGTTGTTAAAAAATTTATAATTTCGGCAATTTACGCTCAAAAAATGAAAATGTTATTAATCATGAGATCGGGGTGTTTACAACACATAAAAAACCATAAAAATTTTTTTTTCAATATCTACTATTTTAATAAAATTTTTTCAAAAAAATATAATTATTTACATGTTTTTTAATTATTTTAAGAAAATAATAAACATTCCATAAGAATTCAATTCTTTACAAATTTTTTATAAATTTCTTCGTAATAATTCAATTATTTTCAATAATACAATTTTGATGAAATCCTTCGAAAGAAATAAATTATTTTCAAGAATTTTAATACAATTCTTTGCGAGAATTCAATTACTTCCATAAATAATGAAACAATTATTTTTAATACAATTTTAATAAAATTCTTTTAAAAATGTTATTACATATTCTTAAAAATTTTATTAAAATTCGTCACCAATTTTAAAAATTTGTTGGTGAAATTCTTTATAAGAATTCAATTTTAAGAAACATTTTAATCAATTATTTATTTTTGTATTTAAATAATTAAATTTTAATAAAAATTGATTAAAAAATGAATTTCAGTTAAAATTTTAGATAATGATTGAATATTACATTAATATAGCGTTAATTTTTAGAAATAATTGAATTTTGAAAAAGTTTAATTCAATTTTTTATATTATTTAAAGTTTTTATTTTCTAATATACATCTATTTGGAGAATTTACGAATAATTGAAATTTTGTAAAATTTTACATTGTAAACAAATAGATTTCAAAATTTTCAAAGAAATTTTAGTTAAAAATTCTTGAAAATACTTTTGAAAAAGCACAATATTCTTATAATATAAAATAATAATGTTATCTTTCGGACATTTTTAATTATTATAAAACATAAAGAAATGTAATTTACAGTTTTAAGTAACATGTTCTCTTATTAGACTCGGACTGGTTATAGTTTTGTTCATAAATTTTTATTTTTGTTCCGCAAAAAAGGTGCGTATTTTCAAATACTGTCACTGTTACAAGCCCTGATAATTTTTTAAAAAATGTTCTTCTCATATTCATAATTTATAACGTTGATGACGTTTACAATGATTTAGAAGAAAAAATAATTTTTTATTCAAACTTTTGTCTTAATAAAACTTTTACAATGTTTCTTGTACAAAAAGTTGAAAAAGAAAATTTTGTAAACGTAAAATATTGTTTTCTTAGTGAAAAACAGTTCTTTTCTTCAAATCGATGACAAACGTTGTGAACTTCTCCAACGTCATTTATAAGTGTTATCAAATAAAATTTAAGCATTGCATTTTTGTAACCCCTTGTTATGTCGATTCTTAAAACCTGAAAAAAATTCTAGAAGACCTGGTAAACCTGTAAATGTCAGGGAAATTGTTTTCAAATTAATTGTAGACACACTAGTGATATAAAAAAAAATTTTAGACAAAATTTTATATAAACATATTTTTATTTCTTTAGTAGAAAAATGTTTATAATATTAGAAAAGTGAATAAAATGTTTTTATAATGTATTTCTTAAAACTAGTCTCACAATAAGAAATGGCCCTTACATTCTATTCATACTATAAGCTGTTTAAATACTGTTACCTTTGCAATATAAAAATATTAAAATTTTTTTAGTAGAAAAATGTTTGTAACATTAGAAAAGTAAATAATGTTTTTATAATGTCTTTCTTAAAATTAGTCTCACAATAAGAAATGGTCCTTCATACTACACGCTGTTTAAGTACTGTTACCTTTACAACAAAACTGAGTTATTTTAAGTCTTCTTTCTCTTTAACTATATTATAGGAGGCAATACAATCTATTCAGAGCAAGGCCACTGAATTTTTACAATAAATGACGCTATACTACTAACTTTTGTTGAGGAGGAGGAGGAGATCTTTTTCTTTGTTTCTTCTGTTTCATTTCTCTCTTTTCTTCTTCGCTGGAGCTATCATCTTCAGATAGTGCTGAACGATCTTTACATTTGAATCCCTTTAAATTCGATGCAATTGAGACGGGTGTTATTTGAGATTTTTTAAACATCAGGTCATGCATAACTGAAAAATGTTCCCAACTTTTTTTCCCCGCGCCAGTTTTATTCTGCAACTCCAAATGTTTTTTGTATACGTCCTGAAGGCTCTTCATTTTAGTTTCCAATTGTTGCGCAGTTAAAGTCATACCTAATTCATTCTTGAACATTGTGGTAATTTTCTGATAAACTCTTATCTTAACAAATTTTCCACCACTGCCTTCTGTCAATTGCTTATAGGACTCCACAAAGAATTTTACCATTTCTGGTGTCCTTTTCAGCTCACCTGTTGAAGCAATAAATATGTAAATGTATGTGACAAAAGAATTAATGAATTAATTGATACGTAAATAAAATTGCATATGTCAAAAAAATGTAGTTAACACTGCAGTAAATTAGTGTTATTTATTTAAAAAGAGGATTAATATCTGCTGGAATCGCATGTGAAAAGTTCGCGAGTTTAATTGCAAAAGCAGAAACAATAATTTTTAGAAGTAAAAAATTTAATTTAAAATTTTCAATGAAATAAATTTTAATAATATTCTTTTTCAAATCAGTATTTTTGATAAAAACACTAAAATTTTTTCGCTTTTCATACAAGTATTATTGTCTCTGATTTCAGTAATTTGTGGTTACTATGATGTAAAACAATACAATTTGTTTTGCTTACATTTAATTGGAAAAGAGCCTACTTTTTCATTTGTCTTATCTGTAAAATATCAAAGCAGAAACTTTCATTAAATTCAGTAATTTGTGGTTACTATGATGTAAAACAATACAATTTGTTTTGCTTACATTTAATTGGAAAAGAGCCTACTTTTTCATTTGACTTATCTGTAAAATATTAAAACAGAAACTTTCATTAAATGGAAATTAGATTAAGTAAAAGTATTTATCTTATACAAGCTAAAATTAGCACCCAAATTTAGCAGGACCCACATAATTTAAAAAAAATTTACATTGACATTTTACCAAAAAGGAAAGAATCAATTCGCTCAAAAAAAATGTACATTATTGAAAGATTATACATTAAAAACAAAAGAATACAAATCAATAAAAATAAATAACATTTAATTCCAAAGAAATTGACATTTTCGTTCTCGACTCTTTAAATATCAATTTTATGTGGAATACTTTTGTTTGATTACTGCTAACCTAAAATACCTCATGAAACAGTGAAATTCTAACTTTTTTCAATAAAAAAATCATTTTTTCAGAAAAGATCAAAATTTTAATTCCGAAAAAATTTACATTTTTGTTCTCGACTCTTTTTAAATATCAATTTTTGGTGGAATACTTTTGTTTGACTACTACGAACCTAAAATACCTCATGAGACAGCAAAACTCTAACTTTTGTAATAAAAAAATCAAAATTTTAATTCCGAAAAAATTAACATTTTCGTTCTTGACTCTTTTGAAATATTAATTTTAGGTGACATACTTTTGTTTGATTACTACGAACCTAAAATACAATAAATCAATTTGTAAACAAAATTTACGTTTCATCTGTTTAATATAAACAACACTTATAACGTTTGTCAACGTTGCATGCACTATACACATTAAATTTGAGCGCGAAATTTAAATGATAATTTTCATCACAGGTTAGAAATAATTCGGCGTTGCCAAACGTTTGACGTTACCAAGTGAGTCAAAACATTAAATATTTCTCACTGTTTTGACTAGCTGCGTCAAGCGATAGAACCTCCTTAAATTAATTTGGTAATTATTTATTTTTTGATGGTCAACTTCTTTCTTAATTTTAAAAAATATTGTCATAAAAGTATATATGTTACTCAAATATTAAACCTTTAAGGTTTATTAACATCATGTTTATTAAAATATTTTTAAAATAAATAATTACAAAAATATGTGACGTTTCACGATGAAAGGGTCCTTATGCCACCAAATACTTTAAGCCTAATTATTCTTTTTTTGAGTAAGGTTCTTTTCACCGTGATGCGTCACATATGTAGCATTCCACGTCAAGTGATTCGAATCCTTTGAAATGTTTGGGATCAGCTTAAA